CGTGGGCCTCTTGTATAGTGTACTGGCTTCTCTAGTCTCAAACAAAAAAAAAATTGCATTGACATGGTGAGTTATCCACCGTATATAATGCATATTGACCTCATAAATTTTATGTTTTTAACCTTTATTGGGTTTATCTATTTTTACAGCAAGCTAAAATTTAAATAATGCCTGCATTTATTTATGTTAGACATTGCTTACCCACATAAACAGTTTTGTATATTTATTTACATTACACAGGGCCGCCATGTGGTGAAGGATGACATGACAGCCTGCCCCAAGTGTGATTTCCCAGCCATCTTCTCCGAATTCATCAAGTAAGTCAAACACAGAACAGATACTACTCTTTTAGAGACTGATTGATCCATAGTGTATGAAAGCTGTTTCATTTTATAATTTTCACAGGATGAACCAATGAAAATACTAATTATTACTGTATTTTTGTTTCAATAGATTGCTGGAGACTGAGGAAAATTGTCCAATGTGTTCTGAGAAAATCATCAAGGAAAATTTACAGAAAGTGGCTGATGTTAATAAATATTTACACCCAGAAGAAGGCACTGTAGAGTAATGACAACTACCTGTCAATCAGACTTCAATTTAATGGCAGATTAATGGTTCTCTTAACTTATGTGTGACAGAAGAAATGACTCTTGGTTAGAATGACAAATAAATGACTGTTCAATTCTCTGAGAGGTTACATATCAGTTGTCTCCGTGATACAAGTGTTTTAAAGGTGTCTGTTACATGTAAGCTTATTGTTACTCAAATTCCGTCCATTGTCTATACTTCAAATATTTTCTATATTGGAAATAGATCTGAATAAATATTGTGATTTAATTTTATTGTTTGAATATGTTTTATCAGGAACATTCTAAAAGGCTGTCAAGAAGTGATGATATTGCTTTCCTAAGTCTTTAGAAATGTACGTGTATCTTTCATCCAAATTATATTTTTTTCTGTCAACAAGATTTGTTTTGAAGCATCCCTCTGAATATCTTCTGAGGAAAGCTTTGGTATGCAGTAAAACTCGCTTGGAACAAACATTGATATCGCAAATTCACAGATAAAGTGAAGTTATTTTGGACCCCCAGCTATATGAGAAGGATATGGAGATAACGAACAGTATTCAATCTCAAAGTCCATAAAACAAAACAAAATAAGAGCAGAGCAAACACTGACCCTCGAAACATCAGAGGTGGGATCAGGTGCCATAGAGGAGTGAGCATCCCCTGCCGACCGGTCACACCCGCCGTGTGCTCCTTGTCATGATCAGGAAATAACGGAAAAAACCTGTCGTCGATTCAGTATATAAATAATGGACTAAAAATTGGTATGAAAAACATCAGTCAGCATTTGACTCAATGAAAAATTGTATTTGGTGACAAGGTCATTGTATCGACCTTATATTTAATGTATATCTCATACATGTAGCAGATAACGGATATAGCAGAGTAATTTCATAGGTCCCTGTGACTTCGCTATAACCGAGTTTCACTGTATTTTTTTTACCCTGTCTATCTATACATTCGTCTGATTGTCATATTATCTTTTCCCCCAAGCTCCTCTTTTAAAGAGGCAAACTAAAGGTTTAAAAAAAAATTATGGTTTTCTTCAAATATCGGGTTCCCTGAACTTCTCTAACATTTTACTTAGTATCTTAATCGTCATACCTCAAAAACATTTAATGCAGGAACAATTTCCAATCACAAAATGTTTAGTGATAAATATGGATTTTTTTTCAATTTGACTACTTTCAATTTGCATTTTATACTTAATGCTCAATTGAAAACAAACTATATTTTAACAAGAAGATTTATTGAATAGAAGATGAACTATTAATTGTGTGTTTACAATATTCAACACATAAATATTTTCTGCCATAGAAAAAAACCATTCATCTTCCTCTACCACAACTTCTCAGACACGCAGCATATATATTCTGACATTCAATGATGCAGTTGTATTTTTCCCAAAAATCTATTATATTGTTACATCGCATTATGCAGGATCCATAGGCCATATTGCAGTTACAGATGCAACATCCCTCGCAAGAATGCTGAGCCAGAAGAATCAACATAGCCAGTAAAATAAATCTCATTCTGAAGTTTCTGAAAAAAAATGTACATTAAGCATGATGAGCTCATACTAAGATAACCATACTTTAATTATTTTAGATTAATTAAGAGAACGGGGTAAACAATTCAATGGTTTCCTCTTCATAGTTTGACTGATTTATTGATATATGTTGTTTAACATCTCTTTTCGTAGTTTGAAGGTAACTGTTATATATTGTTTTTATCATGTGTTTTAATTATATCTACCGTATTATTCAAAACAATTAATACAGATTTTTTGCAAAATACTCCATTTTCATTTCAATTTCAGAGGAACTTCATCATTTCAGCATTGAATTCATATTTTTGGATGCCATCGGTTCCACAACACGCCTGGCCGTGCCGACAAATTGAATACCGCGCGGTGAGACAAGGTTTCACGTGTGTTATAGAGATCAGAACGTCGTGGATTTCTAATGGATTTCATAAAGAAAAGTATACTGAATGTAAATATTTTTTAAATAAAACAACTTTCGTCAACAACTTTAATCCTATAATTTTTTTTAATTACAATAACTAAAGGCCTGTACATATAATGCTTCCTTTTCACAGACACACAGAGATTTGCCATTAAAATTCGCCTTTGCTTAATCGAATTCTGATAATAACATTTTTTTTTTAAATCATAAGAAACATGGATAATGAAAATTAATGAAAATATTTACATTTGCCAATGTCTTTCCTTATATGACAATACTAAAAAAAATGACATTCAATTTTCGATGACGTGCAGTCGGTCACATGATCAGACTTTCTTGCGTATGGAAAGTAAACTGCATGAGCAATATGGAAAGTTCCGACTGTGACGTCACATGACGTCAGAGAAATGTTATGTTGCATTTCAAAATCAAAGTTTAAATAATGCCTATATTTCTTTGTTACATGAATGAAAACGTAAAATATAAATATAAGAAATAAAATATCATTTTTTAGAGTTTCATTGGGGTATGACATGAAGTAGGTACGTGATCAAATCTACTATAACGCCCTTCGGGCGTTATAGAATTTGATCACGTGACCGACTTCATGTCATACCCCAATGCAACTCTAAAAATGATATCTTATTTCTTAAATATTACTTACTCTCTATCACCACGTCAATGTTAAAATTGATGGACACTGAATCTTCTACGAATTTGTCTTTTATAAGCAGTTTGATTATATTTTTCATGCGTAATTCCTGGTGACATATTGGTGGAAAACAAAACCAAAATATAGCAATGATGGTGATATATTTACAATGTTAGAATATTCGATAATGTCACAGTTTGCAACGTTACATCCGTTTTAAATGGACTATATCTAAAATATATAAAAGTATTTACGCATTTATTTACTTCAAAGAAGATTAGTATTAGTTATTCTATAATTAAAATTAACAATATAAATTTTAGTTTATAGAGAGATTGTCCACTAAAGTCGAAATAATGTCACAAATATTCCTATGTTGGAATGTTTTTATTGAAAAAAAAATAGATGAGTGGTCTGTAATAAAGTCCACTTAAAATTATCCCGGATTATCACGAGATACTAGATCTAGATCGTAAACAATAAAGAACAATAACGATTATTCAGATATGATAGATGACTTTGATTTATTTAATAAATAGTATTTTATTAATCAACAAATAACAAAACAATATTCAAGTAAACAATGAAATGCAAGGGAAATGTAGTCGAGTATTTACCTTTATAGATAGTTTCAGCACTTCAGCAATCGGAATTGACCAAATAATATTATGGTAACAATATAAATATGTAGATAAATAAATAAATTGGAGACAAACTCCTAAAAACGTCTAAGTCTGGTAGTTAAAAAGAACGAACTGATTAGGGACGCGGAACGGAAACGCCCGGATCCCAGACGGTGGCACCGGTTGTCAATGACAACCGCGCACCCCATCCAAGATCCAAGAGAGATAACTCTAATTAAAATATACGACTCCACTACATTCCCCTACCTTAAGACCTTATGTCGAAGACATAAGTTTCAAGATATAAAGTATGCATGACTATATCATTAATAAATTAAAAAAATAAATATGCAAATAAATACATCACTCAAGTCTCTCTCTCAAAAATATGAAGAGTACATATGTAATTATACATACTGCATATATACTCATGCAGATACTCGCTCAAATAGTTAAAACAATCAACAATTTAAATTAATCCACAACAACATTATATTACAAAACAACAGATATCTATGTAATAAATTATTATTATCACATAAGGTTAAACTCTATAACAATATGCACAATGACAAATGTCATATCTCTGTATCAGCAATCAACACATTGTGACATATAATACACATACTTGTATAGTATTTATCTGTACATATATATTCAGGTATACATACAATAGAAAATAAAACTAATCACAACATTGTCTTTAAATTTTTTCAGTTCAAATTTAAATTCAAATAACAAATAAATAATTTGTTAAAACTATAACTTATGTAGTATCTATGTACCAAAAAAGTTAGACATCAAAATCAGTTATTTAACGGTTCTCGTGATTTTTAGCCCCCTGAACAAAATCAAAAATTAGCATTTTTAATAAAATTATTGACAATATTTTAGGTTTTCAAGGTTTTGTACCTGTTCATCATAAGTCTTGTACTAAAAGTCCGGAAAAATACATATGATGCTGTATCTAAATAACGGAATTTTCACTAATGTTGGAAATTCTCAAAATAAAGGAAATAAAGTCACTGATAACGATCTTTTCGGTCTGGCACATTCACATGAATGACACATGGCGGAATTAGAGAAAATTCGACCTCAGTGATTTAAAGTTGCATATATTTTGCTCAGGTAAAATAAACCTAATGGAACGTTTTAATTGAATGGTGGAGATGGAAGGGGGGACGTTTTAAGTTATGTGTTACTTTAACATTAAGGTAAAAAGTAAATTGAAATTCAAATATAAATTTTAAAACATCTTCCGATAATTCAATTAAAACGTCCTAGTCCGCCAGGTACAACAAACACAGCCCGAAATATACCATGCAGTAGGTTTATCAATGTCTTAACCTGAAAAAATAAATATTCTTGAACTTTAAATGCCTGTTTTTCAATACTGACAATATTGGCGTATAAACCCTTGGACTTCACAAGGAATTGTCATATCATGATAGCTCATGTAGTGTATATTTGCATGTACTCTCGCTTTTCTTTATGTATATATATATAATTTCAGGACAACACTTATGGAAAAACCTTGAAAAAAAATATTGTCAAGATTTTTGGACATGAAAATGGAATGGAATGAAAATCATGAAACCGTTAAATAACTGAAAAGTAAAAAGATGAAAACATATGTTATATCCCGTACATAATTTTCAAAATTAATTGACGGTGAACATAATTTGACATAACCTCGTGCAAACTGTCCATGCACATATAACACTGTACGAAAATCGGAATCACCGGAAATAAAGTCACTGACACACTGGCGGAATTAAGGTGACATAACGTAAAATGTGGAACGAGAAAAGTCCGGCCAACATCAAGGTAAATATGAAATATAAATATGAAATGATAATGCATATACAATAGCTCACTGTACATGTATACATATGTAATTTCAGGCAAACACAGGAAGAAAATATGAAGATGAACAGGAAAATGGAATAATGAAAACATGAAGATGAGGATAAATGACAAATGAAATGGTAAGATAAGTTGAGGTGACATACATATATAAAAACAAAAACCAACATTTATTCTTCAAAAATCCTGTAAGGCTCTAATACAACTTTCTTACCAAGACGGTTAGACAAGCTAGTACTATTTCTTCTATAACAACTCAAACTGCCGTTCGCACTCTCAACCATCTCCAAACGCTCATCTCTAGAAAAATATGCATTCTCACGCTCACTCTCACCCCTTTTCAAACTGTCGATCTCACTCCTCAGTCTCCTGTTCTCTCTCTCTAACTCTCGTCTCAACTCTCTCTCACGCAAAAGCTCACTCCTCTCATTCAATCTTGCATTAGCTATTTCTTTTAATTTAATTAAACGATCAATTTCAACATCAATATTGAATACAAACTGTTCAAGATCTGTTTTCTCCACAGGGACGGAATGTAAGGAAAGGAATGCGTAATCCTCGGTCTGGCTCGCGGTCGCGGCTGTAGTGTGTACAGGAGGAACGTCTGGCTGAGCAACTGGCGGACACGAAGGAATTTCAGATGACCCGAACTTGAAAGGCAAAGTGGATGGCAAGGTCTCAGACGACACAACGGATGGTGTAACATCGTATGAAGGCAGCAATGGAGCAAAGATGGATGGCTGAACTGATGAAATGATAGCGGATGATGATGTGGCGGATGGCAGACAGGATGAACTGATGGTAGAGGAACTTGCGGAAGAAGCAGATGAGGTCGCAGGTGCCTGTGGCGGAGCAGATGCCAGGGTGCTGGTGGTCGGTGCAACTGGGAGACGAGAAACAAATTTCAGACTGCCAGGATCAATGTAATTACTATTTGGTTTGAGTTCATGTCGACACAGCTGGAGATGATTTTCTAGAGGCAGCTGGGACAAGTGATGAATACTGCGGAGGTGGAAACGCATATCTGTCTTTCTCTTGCAAGTAGATTTACATCCTGGGATGGAACAATGGAAAATAACATGATGGGGCTTGTGCTTCGTCTCCCAGTGCCTGGCATAACTCTTCCTGGTGGTAAAGGAGGTAAAGCCACAGGACACTACAGGACAATTCATTCCGGAATGGAACTCAAAGGGGCAGGATGAAGATTCCAGAAGTTCCGCAAGATCCTCATCGTGGACCAAAAGGTCAAGGACATCAGTGTCCATAATTGACATGACTATATAAAGTGGTGGTGATGAAAACGATGATAAGGATGGGATCAAACGATGATGATAATGATGATGATGATGAAAATGTTGTAAGGATGATCCAAATGAAACTGTAAATAAATAAACACATAGTTTGAGGAAATAGCAAACATGTTGCTTACCATGTTAAGTATATGTTAACACTAATAAAGTGTATTGTATATTTTCTTTAACAAAATTTTCTGTGAACAAAATGTATAACCCCAAAGGAAAAATCTATGAATGGCATACACTCGGACCTTTCTAAAATGTCACAATGACAACAGGTCATATATTTTACTCAATGTCGAGAATATATCTTGTCTCTTCTCATCAATCATTTCCTATATGTAGGTAACTAAATAGTATGTACACAATAACTGTAACTAGTCAGTATACAATAACTGTTACTATTCAGTATGCACTAACTGTATAATTATGTAGGCATCAAGCTATTTAGTATACAATAACTGTAAAATAGCAAACCTATGTTCAAACAAATATAGCAAATATTATGTATGTATAAGCACACAGATTGCAATAATCTGATCACTATGCTACACTGAAATATATCAGTCATGACTCAGGTACTATGACCTACTGTACTTCGAAACAATAACTTGAATTACTCCATGCATGAATACAATATCATGTACATGAGTATACTTGTAACTATTTATACATGTACCCTTGTTTACAAAAACGACCTCAAAGGGTGAGTGTATGAATTCATATATCTTAACTTTAAGTTATAATTTCTTCGAGTGATTAGTCTCAAAGACTCAATTTTCCATCTCTGTATTATCACATAACAAATAATGAGGGTGAAGATGAGAAATGAATATGCCATGATAAAATGATATGTTAGTATAACAATAATCAACTGAAAATTTAATGCAATTCACATGCAAGTGCCTAGTTATGTACACTGTAATTTATGGTGAAAAACGAGTGGGAGGTTTAATTCTACGACCATGTCTTGTGTGTTGGGAACATTCCCTGTAGGATTCTTGTTCGTTTGTCATAATTTCTTGTGATTCACTACTCGAGTCATACTCGGTCTGTACCTCAAAGGTATTGTAAAACTCATAATTTGATAAATCTGACTCTTCCGACAAATAGGGTTTAAGGTGGTCAACATGAACCACAACTAAAACATCTGTATTACAACACTGTATTTGATATGTGACATTACTGATTTTCCTTTTGACTTTATATGGACCACGCCATCCTAACCCTAATTTTGCTTTGCCCAAGGAGGATACCACCTCCAAACTAGGTCACCTTCATTGAAAGTTCTGTGTTTTATATTCTGATCATGATATTTTTTCTGACG